TATTATTAATTTTAATGAAAATTTACAGATATTTTGGATTTTCATTCATTCATTGTTACACTTTTCTCCCTGCCCACCCCACCCCGCCAGTTGGTTCTGCTCTATGAGAAAAAAAAATAATTATTTCATTGTTATACAATTCCTCCTCACAAGTCCACCCTAAGTCCAAGTCCTTCATTCTGGACTCCTCTCATGACAATAATACCTAATCATATATCCCCTTTTAAGAATTCTCACTCTCATCTGTTTCAAAGCAGTAAACATAATTTATTCCATCTTTCACAGTCTCCCCCAACCCTGATGTCAGACTCATTTTACAACAGTGGCACTATGCAGTATTTGTTCTTTTGTGACTGAAATATTTCACTTGGTATGTCATCCAGAGTCATCTGTTTTGCATAATATTTCATGAGTTCCTTGTTTCTCAATGCATGGTAGTGCATTTTGTGAAGATACCACAGCTTCTCCATTCATTTGTTGATGGGCACTTAGGTTGTTTCCAACTCTTTGCTATTGTGAACAAAGCCATGATAAACATGGGTATGCTTGGGTGGCGGTTATGGTTTCTTTGGGTATATTCCCAGTAGTGGAATTGCTGGGTCAAATGGTATTTCTATTTGCAAATTTTTGAGAAAGTGCCATACTGCCTTCCTTACTGGCTGCACCATTCTATACCACATCAACACTGAATAAGGGTTCCAGTTTCTCCGCAACCTCGCCCCCATTTGTGGTTAGCTATTCTGTTAAATTTTGCTATTCTTACTGGGGTGAGATGATATCTCATAGTTGTTTTGATTTGCATCTCTCTTAGAACTAGGGATTTTGAATATTTCTTCATGTGTTTGTTGGCAATCTGAATATCTTCTTTGGTGAAGTGTTTGTTCATATCCTGTGCCCATTTATCAACTGGGTCATTTATCTTGTCATGAGTATTTTATAAATTCTAGATATGTCTCTTATCTGACATCTCATTACCAAATACCTTTCCCAGTCTATGGCTTCCATTCTTACCCTGTTGGAGAAGTTTTTCAATGTGCATAGGGATTTGATTCTTAGAAGATCGCATTCATCTATTTTATCCTCTCCTGGCTGTAGATTTTTCAGGATGCTTGGAAGACTGCTGATGTGGATTAGGACTTCTAGAGTTCTTCCAAGCTTTTCTTTAATGACGTTTATAGTCCTTGGTTTTAGTCCTAAATCCGTGATCCAACTTTAGTTGGTTTTTGTGTACGGAGTGAGGTGTGGATCTTGCTTGAGTTTTCTGCAGATAGTTTTCCAATTTTGCAAACATCATTTGTTAAAAAAGGCTTTCATTTCCCCACTTAACTGATTTTACCTCCTTGTCAAAAATTAGCCATAGATAGATGGGCTGATTTCTGGATTCTCAATTCTATTCCATTGATCTATGTGCCTGTCATTGTACCAGTACCATGCTGTAATGACCACCACGGCAGTTAGTAGGATTTGAAGTGAGGGAGTGAGATGCCTAGATGCCTCCTACCTTGTTTCTCTTTTTAAGGAATACTTTTCTTATTCGGGGCTTCTTTCTATTCCAAATGACTGGAGATTGCTTTCTCCATCTTTTTGAAGAATGGCATTGGTATTTGTATTGGGATTGCATTGAAGATGTAAATTGCCTTTGGTAATATTGCCATTTTCACAATATTGAGTCTTCCTATCCATGAGCAAGGTGTATTCTTCCACTTCTCCAGGTCTCTTTTTCTTTCTTGTAGTAATGTTTTGTAATTTTCTTTGAATTTCCTTTGTACTTCTGGTTACATTTACTCCCAAGTATTTAATCCTGTGATTAGCTATAGTGAATGGTATTGTTTTTCTTAGCTCCAGCTCTGTATTCTCTTTGTCACTGTCGAGAAATCCAATTGATTTTGTATATTGATCTTGTATCCTGCTACTTTGCTGAATTGGACCATTGTATCCAATAGTTTTCTTGCTGAGTCTTTAGGATTTTCTAAGTATACTATCATATCATCTGCATTGTTGTTGTTGTTGTTATGTGCCATCGAGTCATTTGTGACTCATAGCAACCCTATATACAAGAGCTCTAAACGCTGTTCTATCCTGTGCCAAATTAGCCATCTCAAATCAGAATCTATGACTCCAAGGAGCATTCCGGTTTCACCTTCTCCAGGACAAACCTCTTTGTTCTAACAGTCCATGTTCTAGCAACACTCTTCTCCAGCACCAAAGCTCAAAGGCATCAATTCTATTTCTATCAACCCTATTCACTGTCCAACTCTCTGATGCAGGCCTGATATTGTTGCTCTTCAGTACTCTTGAGAGGTACCTCATAGCCTACTTTCTCAGTGCAATTCATCTGTTGATTTCCTGGCTGCTGTTACCAAGAGTGTTGATTGTGGAGCCAAGCAAACTAAAACTGTTAACTATCTCAATCTCTTCACCATCCATATTAATGCTGCTAATTGGCCCAGTGGTGAGAATCTTTGTTTTCTTGATGTTGAGCTTCAATCCATACAGGAGGCTGCAGTCCTTGACCTTCTGTAGCAAGCGCTTCAGTTTCAGTGAGTAGGGTTGTGTCATCTGCATAACACAGGTTGTTGATGACTCTTCCACCAATCCTGATGCCACATTCCTCTTCATACAGCCCAGCGTCGCAGATGATCTGTTGTGCATACAGATTGAAAAGATATGGAGACAGAATACATCCCTGGCGGACCCCCTTCTTGATTTTGAACCATGTAGTGTCTCCTTGCTCTGTTCTGACAACTGCCTCTTGGTCCAAGTATAGGTTTCGCATTAGCACGATCAAATGTTCTGGGATTCCCATTCTTCTGAGAGTCAGCCACAGCTTGTTGTGATCCACACAGTCAAAAGCCTCTGCACAGTCAATGAAGCACAGATAGACATTCTTCTGGTATTCTTTGCTTTCTGCCAAGATCAATCTAACACTAGCTGTAATATCCCTAGTACCACGACCTCTTCTAAATCCAGCCTGTATATCTGACAGTTCTCTGTTGAC